CCAAAAAAAAAAACCCAAAGTTTGCTATAATATATTTGTAAAGAAAGGCCTTTGCTCAAGGCACAATCCGCAAAATTAAAAGTTATCAGTCAGAAATTCGATTTTTTACCCTTATAAATGCATGAGGTCTAAAATTAAAAGTTATCAGCAAAAAGTTCATTTTATCCCTCATTCTATTGCTCCAAATAAAAGAATTATTAGGTCCCTTAATAGGGATATAGTTATAGGTTTGTTGTGGCGGACTGTGTAAACGCTCATTGAAAGAGCACTCTTCAAGCTAAACATAGGGAAGAAACTCAATACTTAAGTCCTGCTTGCTGATTTATGCGTGGGTGCTGCAGATCTACATGAAAGTTCGGAGGCAAAATTCTAAACTTTTTTTTTGTTTCCATGCTTACATTTAACAAGGGGAAACCCATTTACTTGATATCATCCAAGCTAGATGCGTAAGCTAGAGTCCACTAAGGCTTTGACTCTAATGCACCATGATAAGAAAATCTTGGAATGCACCAAGAAGAAAATCAAAAATAATATAGAATTTAGTAAAAATTAAACATCTATTTTACAAAAAAATAGGAATTATATTTTTATAGTGTCCTTACTACTAATCCTAAAATAAAAATAATTAATAAAAAGAAATCCAATACCGAACTAATTAATGTAATCCTAATTTGATAGGAAAAAATCACAACTATTTAGAGTATAAATGGTAACTAATCCACATTAAAATTATTAACTTCACCCATAGAGAAAATACAGAGCAAAGTCTACAATTTTTCTCCTTGTTAATAATTTAAATTATTTTTAAAGAAAATCACAAAACAAGTAATTGAATTTGAAAAATTTTAGAATAAGAAATAATTCTCTTTTTCTCACATTTTTTATTCATCGATGATCAGACACATTTTATAGGCAAAAGAAGGAGAAAATGACAAAAACTAACAATCTTCCCTAGTGGAAGGAAAAAGGCAGAAAATGGCAATAAGCATTTTGTTACATTACTAGTTTGTCAATGAAGGAAAAATAAACAGTAAAAAAAGAAAATACTAAAAGTAATTCTACACTCCCCCTCAATCTAGGCTACATAAATGTTTAGTAAGCCTAAATTGGATATCAATTCGTTGAAGAGTCCTTTGAGAAGTGCCTTTGTTAAAATATCTGCAGTTTGCTGATTAGTAGGAACGTGGAGTATTGTAATAGTTTGATCTTCAATCTTCTCCCTAATAAAGTGTCTATCTATCTCCACGTATTTAGTTCGATCATGATATACAGAATTTTTACCTATGCTGATTGTTGATTGATTGTCGCACCATACTTTCATGGGAGTAGTAACCGAGAATTTTATTTCCATTAGAACTCTTTTTAACTAAATGCCCTCACATATTCCATGAGCAAATGACCAAAATTAAACTTCTGCACTACTTCGTGACACAACAGATTTTTTTTTACTCCGCCAAGTGACTAAGTTTCCCCAAACATAAGTACAGTACCCAGACATAGATCTTCTATCAGTTATAGAACCCGCCCAATCTGCATATGTGTAAATTTCAATATTCCTGCTCATTGTTTTTTAGAAAAATAGTCCTTATCCTGAAGTTTTCTTAAGGTATCTTAAGATCCAATATACCATATTCATATGAACATCAATAGGTTGGTTCATGAATTGACTTGCAGTACTTACAACAAAACTAATGTCAAGTTTAGTATGAGCGAGATAGATAAGTTTGTCCACAAGTCTCTGATATCTTTCTTTATCAACTGACTTGCCATTTCTAAATCCAACTTTTATAATCGTTTCCATGGGTGTTTCTGCTGGTTTACACCCCAAGCATTTCTATTTCTTTTAGTAGGTCAAGAACATATTTCCGTTGTGACACAGATATCCCCCTTTTAGAACGAGCAAATTCCATTCCCAGAAAATACCTGAGTGCTCCAAGTTCTTCTATCTCAAACTTCGTGGCAAGAAAAGTTTTGAATTTCTGAATTTCCTCTATGTTATCTGTTAAAATAATATCATCAACATAAACAATTAGGATAGCTTTCTTACCAAAGGCACTATTCTTGACAAACAAAGTATGATCAGACTGACATTGCTCATAACTCATATGTTTAACTGCTTTAGTAAATCTGTCAAACCAAGCTCTCAGAGATTGTTTTAGACCACAGGGTGCCTTTCTGAGTTTGCATACCTTGTGAGTTTCATATGTGGTCTCAAAGCCTGGAGGAACTTCTATATATACCTTTTCTTCTAAATCTTCCTTGAGAAATGCATTCTTTACATCAAGTTGACAGAGAGGCCAATCAAGTTTAGAGGTAAGAGAGAGTAATATCCGAGTAGTATTGTGCTTAGCCACTTGGGCGAATGTCTCCTGAGAGTCTATCTCGTAGGACTGAGTGAAGCCTTTAGCTACTAGACGAGCTTTGTATCGATTCACACTTCCATCAGGATTGTATTTTACAGTAAATACCCATTTGCACCTAACTTTATGTTTTCCCGGTGGAAGTTCTACCAGTTCCCAAGTCTTGTTCTTTTCCAGGGCCCTAATCTCTTCTTGAATATCACCTCTCCACATTGGCAATGCAAGGGCTTCATGAGTTCAGTGGAGCTGTCATCAAGTTTACTTATATATACATGATACTTTGAAGACAAGTTGCTGAATGAAATGTAATCCTGTATAGAGTGTCTAGTACAAAATAGGTAACTCAGTATTATGATCAATAATGATAACAGTGTCAGAAATTGTGCCTGAAAACTCATTACCTAATGTGTTCTTACTGCTTGGAACTAGAATAGACTCATGTCAATGTAGTTGGTTCAGAATCTTTATTAACTGGAGTTTTGTGTCTCCTAGTATAGACACGTAACTCTTTGTTGATAGTAGTAGGTATAGGTTCAGGTTCAGACTCTTTGATACTGGTTTTAGAAAAATTTGATAAAGACTCGGGAATAGTGAAGGGAAGAGAGGGGAGAGGTGGTGTACTTATATCCCATATTTGATATTCCTAATTAGTACTCTCCCTCTTAATATCGGTAGTGGGATAGAATGACTGCTTTTCCAAAAAAGTAACATTCATAGTTTTGTAGAAACGACGAGTCTTAGGACAAAAACATTTATATCCTTTTTTACTTGGTGAATATCCAACAAAAACACATTTAATGGCCCGTGAGTCAAGCTTACCCCTGAAGTGAGTATGAACATGGACATAGGCTGAACAACCAAAAACTTTATAGGGAAGGGTATGAAGAATATAAGATTGTGGAAAGGTCTTGAGAATAATATCATAGGGTCTTCGAAATGAGAGAGTTCGATAGGGCATGCGGTTTATCAAATATGCAGTGGTGAGAACAGCTTCTCCCCAAAGAAATTTTGGAATGTGGGTAGTGAACATGATTGATCGGGCTACTTCAAGAATGTATCTATTTTTTCGTTCAGCTATATCATTTTGTTGTGGGGTATTAACACAGGAACTTTGATGGATAATGTCATAGTCAGAAAAATATTGGCTCAAAATGGTTTCAAAGTATTCACATCCATTGTCTGATCTCACTACTTGAATCTTGGTGTGAAATTGATTTTGAATCATAATGTGAAATTTTTTAAAAATTTGGCCAACTTCATATGTCTTTTATAAGAAAAATGCAGGTAATTCTAGTGTAATCATCAACAAATGATACAAACCATTTTGTCCCGATAATATTATTGACCCGAGAGGGAACCCATACATCATTATGGATTAATGAAAAAGATTTTGTGGGTTTGTAAACTAAACTGGGAAATGAGTTTCGAATATGTTTGGACAGTTGACACACTTCGCATTGAAAGGAAGTTAGATTTTTATTTCGAAACAAAGCAAGAATATTTTTTTTTAAGTACACGAAGTTAGGACATCCTAAACGGTAATGCCATAACATGATAGGGCATTCCATATTTAAGTTGTTTACAGATTCAGAATTAGTACATACTGCATGATGAGTTTGTCTATTAAGAGAAGAGTTGTCAGCTTGCAGTAGATAAAGACCCGAATCCATACTAGCATTGCCAATCGTCTTCCCCGAGTCCAAGTCCTGAAATTCACATAGTTTAGAGTTAAATGTAACAACACAATTCAAGTCCTGTGATAGTTTACTTATTGACAGGAGATTGCAATCCAAATTTGGAACATATAGCACAGAGTACAAAATTAACTTGGGTGTCAGTGCAATTATTCATGTTCTTTCGAGCTGTGAGCTAGAGCCATCAAAATTTTAACTGAGAATTTACTTCTGCACTTACTGTATTCTTTGAATAGTGAGATATCCCCAGTCATATGATCGGAAGCACCTGAGTCAATGATCTATATTCCTTTTTTTGTGGAATAAGTTTAGAAACCAGAAAAATTACCTTTGTGAGTTGTGGAAGCATTATCGATAACCATATTGGGAGAAAATATTTTTTAAAGGAGGATGATTTGTTCAGGACTAAATAGGGAGCTTTCGATAAGAACAGCTGCAGCTGATTCCTCCTCTGTTGAGACAAATTTCCCCGATGAATTTCCTCCATTTTCTGCTTTGGTGTCTTCTTCTTCTCAGCCGATTCCTTCTCAGCTAGTTTCCCGTGAAGCTTCCAGTATCTTCCACGAACATGTCCTGGCCTTTTACAGTATTCGCACCATGGCTGTCCCTTCCGCTCAGTCACCCAACTTGTGAGGACTACACCAGTCTCGAGCGAGAGAGATATGCTTTCAGCAAGGTTAGGGTTGAGTTGCGAGTCACCCATCATCACTTTCTTCCTGCTTTCTTCGCGTCACTCCTTAGAGAACACCTCTCTGATGTTCGGAAGAGATTTGGTTCCAAGGATGCGTCCTCATACCTCGTCGAGGTATTTGTTCAGTCCGAATAGGAATTTGAAGATTCATTTTTGTTCCACGATGCTTCCAAATCTTCTGGCATCCTCTGGGCAGCTCCAAGCATGTTCCTCAAAAGCGTCAAGTTGCTGCCATTTTCGAGTAAGAAAATTGTAATATTAAGTTACCATTTTTTCTCCTTAGCGCAAGTCATGAAGACTTACTTCGATTTCAAAGATGGCAGAAGTGTTATCGCGAGTGGAGTAGAACTCACGAGCTGCGACCCAGATATCGTGCGCCATCTGATAAAGGAGAAAATTTTCTCCAACCTCGGTAGTCATTGAGTTCAACAACCAAGTCATTGAGTTCACCAACGAGCATTTTGATCGTTTGCGGGAGGAGGTGAGAGCTCTCCAGTAAGATATTCATCCCGGCCTTTTCCTCGGATGAACATTAACACCGAGGATGACCATTGAAGATAATTACTGTCATTTAGTCAATAGCTAGTAACGAAAGAGGGAGCCTGATCAGCAAGAGCATGGCTGTCAGGCACCTGAAGATGGAAGCCCGAAAGGACTTCGGGCGAAGAAGAGGTCTGCTCATCCATTGCAGCCTATTGAATGCATGAGGGATGCTAGAGGATTTGAATCAAGCATGCTCTAATACTATGAAGAATTTTAGAGTAAAAAATAATTTCCTTTTTCTCACATTTTTTATTCATCAATGATCAGACACATTTTATAGGCAAAAGGAGAAAATGACAAAAACTAACAATCTTCCCTAGTGGAAGTGAAAAGGCAGAAAATGGCAGTAAACATTTTGTTACATTGCCAAGTTGTTAATGAACGAAAAATAAACAGTAAAAAAGGAAAACACTAAAAGTAATTCTACAGAATTCTTAATTCCATTTTTCCCCGTCCAAAGAGAAAAAAATTGACTCATATGTAGCCCAAGTAACATCTGCTTCTATCCCCACTCAGTTTCATGCTTTCACTCAAAAGATGTCTTTTATAATCTACTACCTTCACTTTAAGGGACTGAATTTTCAGCATTTTTACAGTTGCAAATTGCAAATAGAAAGGTAAGCAAGAAGTGTAGAAGGTGCTCATTCCCAAAACAAGCTCTTCTGTGCATGTGGCATCCCCTCTCTCTTAAAACTGTCCCTTAAACTGCCTATATTCCCAACATGGTAATCGTAACAAGCAAAAATGGTTCCAAAATGAAAATCATAATTGAAATATTGCAGTGCTCCATGAAATAGCGCACCACAATTAATAAGCATAATTTTGTTTATAAGAAGTCAAAGAAAAGAAAGAAATAGATCAGCAAAACAAAAAACATACTCGAAATATTGCAGCTGCCCTTGAAAGTAATGGCAGATGTTCTGGATAACGGCTTTTTCCACTAAGAATACGCCACTGAATACAATTGGCCACTCCATCAATAAATAATCCTTTTTCTTTGTGCTTCCTGCTTATAATGTCTGACAGGGAAGTAGGAATTAGCTGTGCTCCAGTTGAAACAGAACTCTGAAGAAACACATGAATCCTGCTGCACCCATCACAACAGAACCACTTTTCACGGGGAATTTCCTGTTTGATTAAACAAAGGGTTAGTGCATACTGACAATGGTGCATAATAAGTTTAGTTATGATAATCTTTCTAGACTTACTTTCAAATCGCAGAGTCCACTGTCCCGCAAGCACCCAACATGGTACTCTTTCTCACACTGGAAAATAGCAGATAAGTAACATACACAAGAAAAGCACAATTTGGTTTAAAGGATAACTTCCACTAGAAATACATAATGACCATGCCTCCAGAAAAGTAGAGAGAGAAGCCCAAATACCTGGTCACAAAGAATAACTGTTCGATCATCAAATTTTGCAACACTGAAGTCATGGGCCCTGATAAACAGAGTAGAGAAAAAGAAAAGACTTGCAATTAATAAAGGATTAGAAAGCATATGATAACACCACCTCATAAACTAACGAGCAAATCATAAAAGTTTCCTCAAATAAAATCTAGAATATTTTCAACAATGTCAGAATTGGATATTTTTTACTAACATGCATTCCCCAGAGTAGTCCTCTTAAGTAGGTAAGACTTTTCACAACAATAGAAAACTAAAGCATGGTTTGCCAACCAATTGTTTTGGTCTTCTGCAGTATATCCTTCATAGATTTCATATTAAATGAAGAGAACAGCAAAACCAAGAAAACTATGGATCACCGCCTTAGTCCAAACAGCTGATGTTGGGCACCCTTGATGCATCTAAAGATGGATAACAAAGACAATTAGGTTGTTACAAGCTGAGAATAAGGCACGGTCATCAAAACATATTAATTATCCTATACATGTTCTTTTCTGTACCATTTTTTCCTTAACCATCAAAAAACAATAGTTGAGAGAATAGCACCACAATAATGGATCAAATGGTGGATAAACTCTTGTTATGCTCGGACGATGTCACAAGGATGATAAAAGAAGACTTAACACCGAAACAATTCTTCAAAGCCTCAGCTGATTCTTTCGCAGCTTCGTCTGATGATGTCGATGATGAAGATTCACAAGAAAATCGATCCGAATCAAGTGCATCTTTGCAAAACCAGTAGATGTTTTTGGAGGAACCCCAAGCTCTATAGAATGGGAACTTTTAGATGGCAATATAGAATTGTTAGAGAGGCCTGTACAGAGTTCCTATAAAATCTATATAATTAATGCTTTTGTACTATTCATGGGTATGTGGAAGTGAGTTCTTGAAAGGGGCAGTTTTCTGGTGAAGCTTCAGAGGACTTGCAACTTCCTGGTGAAGCTTCAGAGATTTTGGCAGCAAGAAGATTCGGCGACTTGACAATATCTCTTCAATTTGTCTTAGAGTCTGAGGCTTAAGGAGAAGGTTAGATTTAGCTTATTTGTAATGTGTGTTATTTGCGCCAAATTTCAACCTTCTACAAGAAACATATAAAATTCATCTTCAAACACTGCAGTCCTGGATTGCCAAAAGGCTCAACAATCCTATACATGTTCTCTGCAATCAGAATCTACCACTATTAGAATTTTCTACAGACCCATTTCTCATCTCCAATGTACACCTTGAGGAAAACGTAAATTGATATTTGTAAAGCTTGTGTAAGGATGATGTAATAGATAGTTGGATTGAGTTACAAGCTAGGGCTATAACAGAGAATGAACCATCTTCTAAAGGAATGCGTATTGACAAATGAAATCAGAACAAAATCGTGCTAACATCAGCCACATGCGAATGAGGTCATTGCTAGCAATAGGTGAAACAAAACCAAAGGAAACTATTCAAAGAATGAAAAGCATAATGCTTATACAGAAGAGTTCTAGTAACAGAATGAAAAAGAAATCCAGAGGAGCATACCTGCAAACAACACAACCACCAATTTCAGATTCTGGTGCCTTCACAACTCGCGTCAGTCGTATAATAATAGGTCTGGCGATATTTGAAGATTCTCCAGCAGAAGCTTTTCTGCCAGGGCCAGATTTATCCCTGCAATTTGTACAGTGCCAATCGCCTTCGGGAATGGAATCTAGATTCAAACACACTGCAAGACAAACAAATTCATTGTAGTTGAATATGAAAGAAAACTTTCTATGACCACAAGACAACTCTGGCCTGTATGTTACCAAGTTAAAGATACTCAAGAAAAGCAACATCCACCTTTATGGAACGCACGAGGGCAACCACCACAAAAGAGGAGATCTCCACCGTCTCCACAAACTGTGCACATGTCATCACTACCACCAGTAGTGATTTGTTGCCCATTTGCCAATGATGTGGCTATATCATGAAGTGTCAATCCGGTAGATGTGTAGATGTGACGGTAGCTGTTGAAGGATAAAGGAACTTAATCATAATTCAAACAGAAACTCCAGCAATACATCGGAGATGTTTAGTATTACTCACGGTTGTCTCCTGGCAGCCATTCCAGCATGAGCTTCAAACTGTGAAGGGCTAATCTGTTCACAAAAATATTAGCTACAATAATGTTAATAATAAAAAACCTTGCTAAGTCCCACCAAGACATGCAGAAGTCTGAATTTCTTGCAACTGCATAATAGTTTTACCTCTCTATTACAGCAACTACAGAAAATGCCATTTCCTTGTTTATAGCCTTCAAGTATTCGCTGCGAAATAGACCAAAATATCAGAACTTCAAGAACACAAATTATTCATTGCAAAAAATCTTAAGCTTCAAGTAGAAGATAAAGCACCTGTCCTTTTACATAATAAGCCAATTCAGTCCCATCGGGGAGTCCATTTGGCATGAAAAGTAAGCGGTGTAAATCATTGTCTCTGCCAACAAGTGGAAAAAATCTTCAGGTTTAAAAAAGAACATGATAAAAAAGCAGAATTAATTACCTAAGGAAGCTAGACAAACCTTTTCTTCGTGCCACCTTCAGTGGTCTTCTTTTGTTTCACGACTGAGTTAGAGATGTAGGGATTAGGCCTGAAAAACAACCACAACGTTGGCAACCAAAAACATATTCCAACAATTCATAACTAGCCAGTAGCAATCATTTGGATCAGGGAAAATATAGATAAAGAAAATAGAATGAGAGGAGGGGTAAGAATAAAAGGGAATGCGATATCTACTTTTTAACCACACGCTTCCTCTCCTTCATTCTGTCCTTTACAACCAAGTGCTCCCTAAAAGGATTGTTCTGCGGGAGGATGCAGTAAGGAGGACTAAACTTTCTTCTAAAAGTTAAACAGGACGATGTCGGAGCCCTTTGTCATGGCTGTCTGATCTTGAGAAAGAAAGGAAGAGAGGAGGGAAAGAGAGTGGAGAAATAGAGAGGAAAATCTGAGATATAATTCTTATTCTTTTCCTTCCTAATTACAAGCATAAATAGTGAGCCTTTTATAGATTACAAAAGAACAAAGAGGCGACAATCACAGCCAGAATCAAAATGGCCATTCATGATGCAGCGGCGGCTGCCCTGGAAATACATTCATGACACTAACCCTAACCCTAACATACAAGACTAATTTACCCTTTTGTTATTTCCCTTTTTACCCTTAATTTCCTGACAGATAACTGCGAATTTCAACATAATAATCTTAGCCACTACACAAACAAAGAAAACGACCCATAAAACCAGAAATTTGCGGACAATGGAAAGTTGATATCTATTCTTTTTTTGCTTTAAGGACACAATATTAAAGCATGACTACCATGTGTAGAAGCTAGAATATATTCAAACCCCTTTTTGCACTCCAAATTCAAAAAGTCCTGTATGAGCTAAATTGAGATAAAATAAATTCATTCCGAATTTTTATTTCATATCGTGACATATATAAGCAGTTCTTATCGTATCGGCCCATAACCTCGCTAATTGATCTTTACAGTGCTTCCCAATTAGATCCTTTATCCATATAATAAAGTATTTAAGCATATCTAATTCTTCATAGTTCGACTTCTATGAAGTTTATTTCTTTGCTACAGCTGATAAAAATCGTGTTTTGGACAATGCGTATGTAGAAAGCCTATTTTTTTCTAGTATTTAATTTACTAGCCGCGCTTTCTTTCCTTTTTTTCTATAGTGGAGATCACAAAACATTAGAATAATCTGCGCTGGCATAACTTGAAAAGGTAATTTATTTTAGAATCCACTTTATCTTTATAACATAGAAGTTAATATCGAAGTAACGAATAGAAAAGGAATGATTTCCATTCCCTATTGAACTGATTGATTTTATTTATTCAATCCCAATATCAAGAAGAAATAAAGCTTTTGTACAATTTTTTAGAAAAATAAAGACAAGATATAAAAGAATTTGACTGAGTATTGATGCTATTTGTCATATGTAACCAACCACTTATAACTTCTATTAAACATTAAGGAACTCACAAAATTTAATCAGTATCAATTTCATGTCCTCTCCATATACCCCATCAAAACCAAACATTCCATGAAGTTGCAGTCTAGTTCCAAAAACTCCCAACAAAACCTAAAGCAACATCCATCTCAGGATATTCTACCCTTAGTTTATTGATATTTTCATCAGAAGGCCTTTCTTTCATGACAGTAAGAGCAGAAACCACTCCAAAATGGAATTGGAATTTACACGGAAAATTTTGTAGCTAGTAGGAGGAATAGTCATAGGTAACTTCTATACCTTATAAGCGAAGATGTACTCGGATGCTCAATTTTATGATTCCTATCAGCTTCAGCCATTCCATTGCTTTGCCAAAAACAAGCTGCATAATCATCAGTCAGTAGCTAATATACACGAAGCATATATTTTTATTTTTTTGAGATAAAAGAGTAAGAAATATATTGAATACACGAAGCATATATACAAAAACATATATCCAAAAGCTTTCTTTGAGCAGGGTGGGACGATATTGGTACCGTGTCAAGCAACACAACTCTCTCAATTTTGTATAAATTTAGATCCCCGTCATTACCTTTCCATAATTGAAAATTCTCCCCATTGAGGGATGAACCAGCCACATTACGTATCACTTCATCCAGTGCATCAAGTGGAGCAGTTTTTAACTCTTGGATAATATTATAGACTGGTTTTCCATTCTCCAAATATATGTGATTATTGGGATGTCTAGTTTTAGTACCAGCATGCTGCTCAAACTCATAGGCACTCAGAACCTGCTTAAACCATGGAAATATCGTCATAGAAATACAGAAAATACAATATATGTTCATGTCAATAATAACTATTTTGAACTGTGGGTACTTACTTTTGAAAAACCGCATGATGTACAACCACACAAGTATCCACCCGCATGAATAACCCCCTGAAGCTCTCTCTACCAACAATTAATAGTACCACAAAATGAGATTTTTTAAAAAATTACAAACTAATTGCACCAAAAACCAAAGGGCTGAAATTTACCACTGGCGGAGTTGAAATATACTTCACCCGTGCTCCATCTAGGATACCAGTTGATAACAACTTTTTAACATTGGTAGGATAGTTCCTGAGAATAACCTTCTTGGACATCCTCAATTCCATGTTGGGAGCACATGCATGACGATTGCTCCAATCAGGTGATCCTTTCAAACAGGTATTTATATTTACGCTATTTGTACCAAATGAAGATGAGTCCATCAAAGGCTCAGATACCGAAGAAGATAAGAGATTATTGAAATCATCCTTTCTCTTACTAAACTTGAAAGTAATTTTCCTGATTCCAGAAGAACTAAGATGCTTAGGGATTTCCAATACAACTTGAGACGTTGATACAGCGCCTGAATTCTCGATCTGAGAACTATCAGTCCTAGAAGGATCATTTCCACTACGCTCTCCATCACTCAGTGTCTCCTCTGAACTTGAGCTCCTCAAGCTCGTAGAAGAGACCTCACCGCAAACCACATGATCAGCACTAGTCAATTGTGCTGGTTGGCTACTGATATCTTGAAGACTTGATGCAGTGCCTTTGGGGGACACAAGAGGGTTTGAAACTTCTGATCTTATGTCATCGTTTGAAGCTTCTTTTGTGTGCTTTTTGTTCGGAAATGCGTCAGCTTCGATATCTCCAGCCAAAAACTGACTGTCTCGCTTCAATTCATTTCTCGGCGAGCTTCCATTCCCCATAATCCCATTTTCTGGTATCTCAACGCAGACTGCTGCTTCTCCCATTCAACGACAATTTATCAAGAAACCTGATTCTTGATGAAAGCATTCAAGAAAGGAAAAAAGCGAGAAATGAACCCTAAGTTCACTGAAGATGGATTATCGAGGAAATCAAAACCAGAAGCTTGTATGTGAATTAGAAACTGTCAAGATAAATTTGCTCCACACCATTTCATGGCCCCGAAAACTGACAAAACCAACGACGCGGAAACCAATTCAAAAAAAAAAATCCAAAAAGTCAATAACCGCTAAATCTTTATTTGAATTTGGTTGTTTTGGCCCGCGTAAATTCAGAACATCCCCCTTTACAAATCCTCCAATCTACAGAAATCGATTCAAAAGAAACAATAGATCAAGCAAACATGCACTTATTTCAAATCTGAGAATTAAGAGCTAAGAAAAAAAAAAAAAAAAAAAGAGAAGAAACTTTCAAGGTCATGTTCCAAATCTTGCAGATCTGAGATTCATAAATATTCTTAATTAATATTGAATTATTATAATATGAAAAGAAGAGCGAATAACTAGGGTTAGGGTTTTTGCCTGTGAAAAGGAAAAAAACAGAGAGAACGCACAAGGCGGCAATGAACCAGAACAAAAGGCTTCGTTCGCGGTCGAGATTGAACTATTTCAAGAAGGACGATGGAGAGACGACATTTTATTTTATATATTAAAAAGGAAAAGGCCAAAATGTTGCTGACGATGTTTGGAAGATACGAGAAGACAGGTGGATGACTTGAGAAGCCAGGTGGGGCCGTGATAAATTACGGTGCCGTGGACCTATAATACAATGACACGTAGCATGACTGCCCTGTAACCGTAGCACAGCTATACAAATGGGATGAATATCATTGTTGGACACGTGTCAGATAATCCACGTGGACACTTGTTACTGGTTATAGGTAGAGCGTGAAATATGGACCGTTGCAGTATCATTTTCTTGGGTTATAATAAAAATGGCTAAAAATACCATGTTTTGCCTTGAATTATACAAAATTGTTTAGTTTTCCCCCAATTATTTGCGTGTTTAAAGTTTTCCTCAGACTTCTAAAGATGTCACAAAAATCTCCCTCTCCGTTAACTTTCCTTAACAGCGTGGATGTTGCTGACTTAGCAAATGACATGGTTTTGCTACGTCATATCTATTTTAAACTTACTACATGAACCATTTTAATCTTTTTTACTCCATCAAACTCTTTTTTATACCTATTATTTCTTTTTATTTGTACTCGAACATGAACACTAGTTTCTCTCCCATTAACTTTTTTTTTTTATTCGATCGTATTCTTCATAAAATTGTTCATCTTCTTCACAAAAAACTAACGCAGTGTCCATGCCAAACTTATTTTTGTTTAACACACGCACATTTGCCTCCTTCACACGAGTTTTCCTTCTTCACAACACCCACGCTCTTACCATGATAAGTTTTCTGTTTTATTTCTCGCTCTTTTCTATTCAGTTTTCTTTTTTTATATATGTGATTCGAGTTTATATGAGAATAGAGATAAATACAAAGACAAAAAGATTGGAGATTAAAAAGGCAAAAAAATTATACAAAGATAAATAAGGATTTCATTAGTAAAGGAACTTAGGAATGTAGACGCTAATTTGTGCATGAATCTTGCCATATTGTTTAAGTTGATATCATTCTTTAATTATTCATTTTGTTCATTTTTTAGTGGACATCATTTACTGATATAGTAAAATATTTATGATAAAAAATAGATATAACAAATGAAACTGAATGGTGTAGTTGTGTTGTTTTTTATAATTAATAAAAGTATGTACATATGTATCATGCAAGATCTATTGTACCATTAAGTGTCAATTATTAAAAGTATCCACTACATATACTCAAGTGAATAGTTATTCGTGTCAAGAAAACATAATAATATTTATTAATGATGTAAAAACTATTGCATTCATAATCTTTGAAGCTTATGCATTATGTTTGGTGATGTAATTACTAGCATCAAGATGGACACAAATACCTCAAGATCATATGATTTCTCAATACGTTAAAAGGTTAAATTCGATTTTGATGACCCAATTGATAGAGCTTATTTATAGATATTTTAATTTTTATATTATATTACGATAAACATTATAATCTTATTTACTTTAATGCAGTTGTGTAACTATAACTTTTTTTACTGGTATAACCAGGAGATAATTACAAAGCATCATTGTCATTTGCTTACTTTCCTAAGAAAGATGTCAGACTCTATGAAGAACTTAATGACATTCATTTAGTTGATTGTGAAATAATAATTTTTTACGAGAATATTTTGGGATATATAAAAAATTATTGTTTGGCATCAAGAACTTGTGTTAGTCTGAGTGCAATGGTTGTTATGGTAAGGCTTGTGTTGGTTTGCTCTTTACCTTAAAAGTAATGTTCAATTTACTGACTTGTGTTTTGCCAAATATGTTCATGCTCAACAACTTGTATTTTACAAACTTATATACCAATTTAACAACTAAATACTATATAATACCATAAATTTTATGTAATTATTAACATTATATTTTATAAAGAACGAAAATTGTATGACATATTTTCATGCCACAAATATATGATTTACTTTTAATACCTTTATAATTCCTCGTGTAATTGAAAACATTTAATTATTTGTGCCTCTACTTATCACAAAAAGTAGCTAAAAATATCCCCATCTTTGTTTTTTTTTTTTTAAACAAAATCCTTTGATGCTTATAATTGGTCTATATTCGACTCTCCACCCATCTTTAGGAGCTGTAAAACACACCTATAAATTTTTGAATAAGCAATTTTTTCCCATCTATCTCCTTCCTGTGGACCTGACTTTCACTGTAATATTCGGGCCCATAATTTGGCCCAAAATTAATTTTAGTGTTAAAAAATGTGTAAAAATATATTTTTAAAATTAATAAATTTTAATTTAATATAGAATTATGAAAAAATAATAAGTTGATGATGAAATTAAAAATAATTTTGGGAAAAAAAGAGTAAAAATTTGGGGTTGGATGGTATTTTTGAAAGAAAAATCAGAAATTAGAGGTTAAAACGTAATTAAGAAAAATTGTGTCACGTAGAACTGCCCAATCAATAGCCTTGACGAACCGGAGTGCTCCACGTGGCAAAACACACTGACTCGGTGCCATGTAGGAGGCCACGCTGGCAATCTGTGTGCCCTGTGATTGGATGGTCTGGAAGCGTTCCCATGCGCATGGACGATCCGGATCCGTTCCCTCATCAGGCGCGATCAGATGGTCACGATTAAATGCGATGAACGGTCTAGATTCGTTCTCTCTTTAAACGCGATTGAACGGTCGAGATCAAATTGCGATGAACGGTTCATATTTATTCTTCTTTAAACGCGATTGGACGGTCAAGATCAATCATAATGAATCACCTAGATTTACGCGAGACAGATATAAATATTTTGCATCACACTGAACCCAAACCCTAACCGCTAGCCTCCTGCCAAAGAAGAAGAACCAGTCGCCGGAGAAGGGAATCGATCACTACCCGCCGCCCGCGACCTACAGCCGCGCCGAAGCCACCTCCGACCGTCAAAAAAGGTAAAAATTCTCCTATCCGCTCGAAATTTGATTCCGAACACCCTCATGGATAAATCAGAGCAAAAAAAATGGTGGGTGAGTCGAAAACTGCGAGTGATATCCGGCAGCGCTGCCGCAGGCAAAACCTGCAACCGCCTCTGATGAGTCTTTTTCTGTTTTCCGTTTCGTACGATTTTTTCACTATTGTGTTCACCGTTCTGTTTTTTACAGGTTGACTGAAGAAAAACGTCCAGCCGCGAAGGTGAGCCGACGGAGCCGCCACACCAAAAAAATTTTACCACTGGTAAGCTTCTGTTTTTTGATTTTTTTCGGCCAAATAAGACCTCCTAACGTGTTTTTGCACAAGGATAGGTATAAAACCGGTCAAAACTGGCCAAAAACGGCCAAACCAAGGTAAACTGTTGTCCCGAGTGGCGGTGCCGTTGTCGGAGCTCGGCAGTGCTGCCGTGCCAAAATTTCAAAATTGGTCAAAAAAGGTTTTTAATACAAATTTTAGATTTTTTGGATATTTTTAAGAACGTGAAGTGTGTTTTAATATCCACATAAAAATTCAAAAAACTTAGGTACTGTCAGTAGGCACAATATAAAGTTCGGTATTTCGAATATCAATTCGGGTAAGAATCCATCGTCTTATTCTATGTTATGCAATTGAAGCTTAATAATCGATAATATGGTATTTTGTGTAAATTAAAAAACTGATATAATAATTATAGGTTACTATGGAGCCAAAACTGGTTAATTATTTATTTATCCTATTTAACTGATTGTTGAATTTACAGCTTTAAATACATTATGATATAGTAGAATGGTTAATTGATTCAATTGTGCTTTCTGGATATATATATTGCTTGTCTTATGTGATTTACGGTTGATTTGTGAAATTGGTAATTAATATGCAAACGAGAAATTATTTGGTCATGTGAATTAATGAATAGTAGTCTTACTGGATATTTTGGGAGATTGTAGACGGATCTGGTATATAAGGAACCTTACTGTGAACATTGCCTCATACTGAACGAGGTATCGAGAAATGGTAATTTTGGCGTTCATACCGAACGGGGTATGAGGACGGCTCGATTCACCCTCATACCGAACGAGGTATTGAGAGATGATATTTTTGGTGCTCATACCAGACAGGGTATGGGGACAGCTAGTTAGTTAACAATGTTGGATATTAGTTCACGTATAGGAGGACATCTATATGAACCCACAAGAATACCAGTAGACAAATAAAAAAGAAAAGTTATTGTTCTTACTCATTTGAATATGAGATTGGAATGTTATTTGAGTTATTGTCTCTATAGGTCGATTTCAGAAAATCTCGCAACGGTAAATATATGCAATAAATGGTTTTCTTTATGATAAATGAATTTATTTAAATCAAGAGTTTTATTGATTGTTTTTATGATTTTTACCAACTTTCAGTTTCTCTATCAGTGAGTACTGTGATATTCTTACTGTAGTAGTGTAGCTCACTCTTTCATCAATTATTTCAGATCAAGAGGACCAAGATCCAGATCCTGATCAATAAGAGGGTTGTGAATAAATCCACCACTCAAACTCCTTTCAGAAACTAGTGAAGGTCGTCCTAAAATGCTTAATTATTTGTCTTTTATTTATATCTTTGACTTTTATTTGTTCTTTTGAGAATGGATATTCTTGTAGTCCTATTGGGCATTCTAATTTATTGTGTAAGAAATGTAAACCCTAAACTCTATTATTTCATTTTTCGCATTTAATTTATGATTTTATTACCTTTTAAGTTCCGAGCCTCAACATTCACAATTAAGTAAGATTAATAACTATTAGTTCCTCAGTATAGTCGTAAAGTCTAATGTACTGAAACTTGTATGAACCTTCAAGCTCTTCTAAAACAATCTTATTACTCGTCGACATTTGCTCATTGTCGCATTCACTTAAATTTTTTTGTTATTTA